AGTGGGGGTTCCTTCGGGAGACAACTACGCTCAGCTCGGCTTTCTGTCATGATAGCTGCATAAACCACCTTAGAAGCAGGTCAGGAGGTCTGTGCCATTTTTTCTAGACATCCAAAAAGCAATTCGATTCTGTCCTCACGCTGTCTTGTCGTCTACAGCAGCTGGAGGCTCCACCCCATTCTACTGAGATGGATATGTAGCTACCTAACAATCGAATCCAAAGTGTGATCAAGGGAGATTCACTTCTCTGACATTCATGCGATTCTCTGCGAGTGTCTTCCCAGGGTCAGTCCTGGGGCACTACTCTTCCTGTTGTATGTAAACGGTGCTACTGCTCTGGTTTTTCACCTGGGTCTAAACTTACACTCTATGCTGATGACCATTCTACTCTTCAATGCTCAATTATGATGATATGGGACTTCGTGCTACTACAGAGAGATGTATAAACTCCTTGTACAGTGGTCAGCCAGTAGATCTCTAACACCTTCAACCCCGAACAAATGCAAATTGTATGATTGCTGACAAGGAAAAGACACTAGCGAAATACATCTGCTCTGTGCTTACCGGACAGGATATCGCGAGGTATTTGCACTACACATACCTTGGTGTACTTAACATTGACTCTCTCTGGAGTAAGCACATCCATGAGTTTTGCTGCTCAGAGCATAACCGAAAATGCTGGTCTTCTGTGACAGCAAAACATTCTACCTGACACCATCGTCTACAAATCTTCTGCTTGCGCTTGTGTATATATCTCTCATTCGGCCATGTCTAGCATACGCATGCGTAGGTATTGGAATCTATGTACTTAAACAGACATTAAGAGAAACTGAAAAAGTTCAGAATGTTTGCCTTAAGACTCTGTGTAAAGCAATGGCCTAGAGGACAGTGCTTCGATCTGTTGTGTTGTGATTGCAATATCAGTCACCTCGACATTCGTCGTAAGTTATATCAATCTTTGTTACTATGTATAAAATGGTAAATCCCTGAGGGATTTCCCCCCAAATGTGTTTTACCAAGAGCTCTTCTCGTCACAGTCTACATACTGCTGTCTATTTTGTACAACCTTCGCCCGATACACTCGTATCTTTTCTCATTTGTGCCTAATACCTGCTCACATTGGAACAAGTTACCTCTTGATATAAGATCATCTGAAACTCTCCCATCATTCAAATCATCCTTGAAGGAATGGCTAAATATTTATAGTTAATTTTCATACACCATGTATTAGCTTTTGGCTATTGTGTATGATTATAAATTCATAAAAATACATAAAAAATAAATAAATAAAAAAATACATATAGGCACGCCGGCGCTAGGCCCACAGCTGGCCTTCGGGCTGAGCCCCCGAAGCTTGATACATAGCTATAATGCTATAGATATGTTTTGGGAGTGGCAGCAAGAATAAGTTGGCACAGCAGACGGAAAAGAGTAGAAAAGAGTTCGTCTTCCCCCTGGGAGCTGGCGACGGTCATTGGTGAGGCTGTAGCTATGACAATGACGCCTTAGGCTGCTCTATAGGTATATAGAGAGCGGTTTCCGACAAGAGATGGGCAAAAAGAGAGGCCTACAACACCTGCTGTTCCCAGGCGGTCACCCATCCAAGTACTGAGCAGGCCCGACACTGCTTAACTTCGGTGATCGGACGAGAACCGGTGCTTTCAGTGTGGTATGGTCGTAGACGTCAGGCCAACTACTCAGGTTGACATTTATAACTTGAGACTGACAGTCACGCGGGTGAAAAGCTGTCGAATTGTCCGAGGAGGGGGAGTGCTAAACTGTCTTTGGGGAAAACTGGCAAAGCGTCGGGGACTACATCCGAGGATCGGCAGATGACTGGGGGAAAACTGGCAAAGCGTCGGGGACTATATACATCCGAGGATCGGCAGATGACTGGGGGAAAACTGGCAAAGCGTCGGGGACTATATACATCCGAGGATCGATGTTCCCCCCAGTCCTCTACCTCCTCTTCAAAATTCTCCCAGCCTTCTAGGACTTGTTCCGTTGTTAGCCTAGCTCTTTTTGCCATTTCTGCATGCATATTTTATTATCATAAACGTTCTACCGAGTTACATACTATCCGCTTACCGTTCCTGTGTGAATTGCGTAGGAAGGCTGGAGTAAAACGGGGGAGTGGCACCGCAACTGCTAAGTGGGAGGGGCTGAACGGAATTCTCAGTAACCTGCTCTGGTGTGTACGTCTGCAGCAGGGAGGAGTGGCTCGTGCAGCTCCACGCTAGCTCGTTCTTTCTGTACCTCTACACAGCTGCCGTGATATCGCGTCTACTGCGTTTTCGTGCAATGCGCATAATGACGCCATATCGCGTCAACCGCGGCTAATCGGTTAAGGTCAGGCGTCTCGGCGCGTACAGGAAATCCTCCTCGGCTGTTAACTATACCAGCCTCAGAGTATCTCCTGTACCGCCTCGCCGCCTATACGTTAACTAATACGTACATACATACAGACTTAACAGTTGTGCAAGTAAGTATATATATACACACGTATTTAAATCAGTGCAAGTACATATATTTAATCAGTGCAATTCCAACATGACATACTTGTAAATGAGTCTGGTCCAAGCAGCCTTGACCCACGCCCAGTTCTCGTCCATTCCCCAGCCACCTAGAAATATAATTAAATAAAAACGTGCGATAACATAAACGTACGTAGTGAACAAAATAGGGATGACTGTGTGAAAAAAAAACATACCATGACTATGTACATACTTACATGTTTTGGGCTGGGTGTGTTTTTCCTGCCAGGTCTGGTAGTCTAAGGTAACAAAAAGTACGTATATAGCACAAACACACAAGGTCTTTCTCTCTGAGTAACGATGCCTGCAGTTTCGAACATGGCTCACTTGTGGTGGTGTGTCTTGCCCGAGTAGCGAGAACAACGCTGACCCACGTCCAAGTCCACGCCCAAGCCCTCGTCCAAGCCCCACTGATAGCTGCAATAATTCAATGCACTTCTCATTCCTCACTCATACTAACTTAATACGTACAGTTATCTGAGGTTCTTTGTCCTCTGACTCCAGCACAGTGGCGGCTTTGGTGTCCAGCACAGCGGCGGCTTTGGTGTCCAGCACAGTGGCGGCTTTGGTGTCCAGCACAGTGGCGGTTTTGGTGTCTAGCACAGTGCGGTTTTGGTGTCCAGAACAGTGGCGGCTTTGGTGTCCAACACAGTGGCAGTGTTTTTTGTTCCGGCCTCCATCATGGCCTCTGCATTAGCTGACGCTGTCCTCCCAATGTAATTCCACGAAATCGCGTATTTACATACAATACGTGGACGTTTGGGGAAGAGGTTCTTTCCAGGACGGCGCCTTCCTGCTATCTCGTGTCCGAAGGCGGTTTCTCCGATCGCGGGTCCGGTGTCGAGGTGTGAAAGTTCACCTTTCCTGCCGCTTACTGCCCAGGAATACGGCCACTTCATTGTTTTTTGCCGACATCTCTTAAATAGCTATACAGAGTTATTCGCCGGGCAGAAAGCTCACCTAGATAGTCTACTCTGCGGAGTCAGCACGTGGTCTCACATACACCTGCGCCTCATGTGACCGGCCAGTGCAAGTAGCACCTAGGTCCAGCCTCATCACCTAACCTTAGCTTAGCACCTTGTGTCCCAGAGTGAGGGGGCGGCAAGTCCGCACCATGGCGCGCACTTGTGAAAGTACGTACGTACGTATGACTACTTTGAAACACAAAATGCACAGCAGTTCAGGTTACACAACAGAAGAAAAGGTTTGAAAAAATATTGTCGGTTTTACCTCCCGTCTAAGGCATTCCTAAAGAAGAATACTTATTTAGTATATTATACTTATTCATGTGCAGAAAACTTTTGATTTAAACATGAGGTTGCTCAGAGACATGTAACGCAGTGTATGCAGGTATGTATAGGTATATATCTACATAAAATAACCACAAACCTTCAAGTCGTACCACATATTTTCGATAGGATTTGCATCTGGTGATTCTGGTGTCGGCAAAGAAAGTTTGTGCTCGCTATGAGGTATGCTTCAGATCATTGTCCTGCATAAATCTGTGGCTTTGCGGATAGACTTCCTATATAAATGGCACCAGGTATCCATCTAAAATCTGACAGTAGAGTTCAGTGTCCATTATTCCTTCAAATATGCAGGCATTGGTGGCTCCGTTCCAGCTTATACCAGCTCAGACATGTACCTTTACTGGGTGTTTGGGGCGGGGTTTGTAACGCGGTTTTTGACCTTTCTTCCTGCAGCAAAAGCGGCGGTGGGTTTCCATTTGAACCGAGGTTTCGTCAGTCCATATAACGTGTGAAATTCAGCACCGAGGTGTTCCTGCGCCCAGTCAAGCCATTTCTTTCGGTTCTCTGCGCGGATGAGTTGGCAGTAGGCCATGCCACGCGTGTCCAGCAGAGTAAACGACGCCCTTTTAGCGCGGTAGATAACGACACCGAAACTCCAGCTCCTAGTAAGTCGGTTACCAACTCTCTGGCCGTGGTTTCATCATCTTGCATCATAGCGGCATCGATTTTCTGCAGAGCTACATCGGTAAGCTTGGTCGGTCTGCCAGATTTAGGTAGCGGTGTTATCGTCTCCTGCACCTTGAAGTGACCTTCCAGACGCCACACCGTCTGAGTTCGAATACCTTCCTGCGTCAAGGCGGTCACAACTTCTGCCAGCAACTGCCGAATACGTTCCCTAGAGAGACGCGGTCCTTCTCGTTGGCTGTTTTCCATGACCACAACGTACGCATGTACTTGTGCATGTGATAGTACGTATGTACATATAAAGTACGCACCTCCGCCATTCCGCCTACCATTCCGCCTACCATTCCGCTGTTGTCCCCCGCTTCGGTCGGCTCCGCGTACGCGAGGAATTCCGACTTTACGCGCGTAGATTACGATATTCCACAGTTGCTGTAAATCTTCTGCGGAATTTATACTGGCGTCCCACTAAGTGGAGCACCGCATTCCTGCGGAATGTTGCATTTATTCGTATGTAATGCACTCACATCGGATATCCGTTTGCTGTGGTACTTTCTACCTTCTTTGGGCTGTTTTCTTATATATAATGCACCCACATTGGATATCCGCTTTGGTAACTCCTTTGGACTGTTTTGTTAGTCATATATAATGCACTCACATCCGGCGAACTGCGCATGCACGGTACCGGTAATTGATGGGCTGGGCTATTAGTACGCGTTTACTCGTGGTCTCCCACTAGTAGCTCGCGGAGAGTCTGACACGGGGTAGCAGATAGCAGACCCGCTTAACGTAAGCCTGTTCTAATTAGCATATTGCCGTTTTTGCTCGTGTTTCACGCCGTAACTCCTGAACACAGCAGTTTCATAGAAAACCCCACATACTTTTCGACTTTTATCCGACGCTGAATATGTGGTATCGTCTGTGGAGTGATTGATTGCTTGTGAAGTGAGATAGCACTCGGACAGACAGACACACACAACTACCGGCGCATGTGCGCCGAGGGTCATACCCAAACGAAAACAGGTACAAAAAAGTGAGCGTACCCAAACGAGATCTGGGTACCCAAACAAAACAGGGTGCATACCCAAATGAAAACTGGGTACCCCAAAAAAAGTGTGCATACCCGAATGAGAACTGGGTACCATAATAGAAAGTGTGTGTACCCAAATGGAACTGGGTACCCAAATTAAAAGGTGTGCGTGCCCGAATGAAAACTGGGTACCTAAATAAAAAAGTGTGTGTACCCGAATGAGAACTGGGTACCCAAAAAAAGTGTGTGTACCTAACATGAGAACTGGTACCCAACAAAAAGTGTGTATATACCCAAATGCACATATTGCGACTTGGTGTGCGTAATTTTGAGACCAAACTACCCCCATATCCGAGCATCGCGGTCATGGGGTCGCACCTCGCGTCTTTGCTATGTGTGTTAGGAACAGCGGATTTCCACCGCTCCTGCAAAAAAGGTAAGGGAAAGGCTCTAGTTTTTCAAAAACCCAATGTCCCACGAGCAGCCCATATTCAGCTATTTACACGCATATCTCGAAATATTTTGCTAAAGTGCTAACCCTCGGGAAATGACATGTTAGGTACCAATTTCATGCATCAAAAACTACTTGCGACATGACACTAATGGGCCAAGAGTGTCATTTACTAACAGTCTCTAGAATGCAGTCGTTTCAGGAAAATCACTTTTTTTAATTATTCACGTTGTTCTGAACCCGTTTGTATAGCATAATTATAGGCTGCCTCGTAGCCTGTAGTGCGAGAACAGGCGTCAACAGACAGACAAACACACAGACCAAGAACTGTAACCCTCACTGCGCATGTGCACCGACGGTTAATAATAACTAGTGCTTGTTACATAATGTACAACTTACAAGACACTTTGCTCTCCCGGATATTGATGGTTTCACCATACCACAGTTTATGTAACAATTCACTGAAGGAAAAAAATGCAGAAACAGGGCAAAAAAATAAAGAATACCACTAAATATGTAGCCCATTTTAGTGATCAATAATGAACCTAAATTGGCCATATGAGCAAATTTTCTACGTTGAAGCCTTCAAACGCATGCGCTGAAATCTGTGCATCAAAAAGCAATCGCTACACACAGGCATGGAAAATCACACGTTTGAGTGAGGACTAGAGCATTCGTGGAGTTGACAATTGTTGATTTCTACACTCTGCGAGAATTGGAAATGGTCCACAGCCTGACGAGGGGCTCAATTAATGTTCAGCTAGCTTGTACGTACAAAGTGGGAGGTGGTGCAGCCCCAGCCAAATTCTGCCAGCAGCCATTATACGTAAGGAGAATTACTCAATACTAACCCCAGCTACAAAGCCTACATATTGAAAGACATGGCCTTCCCAGACTACATACATATAAAGCACCAAAGGGAAGAAAATTCTGTTAAACCAGTTGCAGGAACCATAGACAGGGAGAGGGGCATAAATAGAGGATATTCGCTGCCATTCACAATGAACTCAGTCTTAACCAATTAGATAGAATATTAAAGAACCACAGGAACAGAAGAGCTTTATCAGCCTTTGGAGGTGAAGATGCAAGACCTGTTCTGATGGGGTTAGAGAAGTATAAAGAGTTCAGATATCCATGCAAAGCCCTAATGGACAAGAAGGTGATAGCCTACAAAGTGTACTACCCATCAGAATGACCCCTGATCCGCCCTCACACCTTTCCATAAAACATGCCCTCACATCAGAAGACAACACACAGAAAGAACCCCATCAAAATCAATAGACTCAATGATATTTAACGAAAAAACCTACAAGCTATGCAGCTGACCCATATGGACATGAAAAGAATAAGGAAAAGGATTCTATTCCAAGAACAGGAAGAACAAGACACAAAAAGGATGAAAATGTGGTCAGAATCACTAACTATCAAGAGTGGAGGTCCCTAACAGAGTTGGCAGACTGGATGGAAAAGAGACTAACAGCCCTCTATAACAATGTAACAAAATTTTACTTAATCAAATAGCAGTGGGTAGACTGCAGAAGAGCAAGATGTTATGGATATACGCAGAACCCCATGTTGGCAAAACAACTCCAGCGAGACTTATTAAGAAAATGTGTCAAGGGAGAACAGTTGAACTACGTACCTAAAACCTTTGGAGCAAAGTCTGGGGAGGACATAATTATGGTTAGAAGACGAATGGACCCATTATAAAATGGAAAGGCTCCCTGCAGACACATTTAAAAATAACAGAGGGTGACCCTGATGTTGTAACTCCCGTTAAATATAAAGAACAGGAAAAAAACAAGAAAATGCACATCATATTATGACAAATGACAAACTATGCAAATACGTAAGGTGTTTGAGACCAATCTTTCAGAAATTAGAATGAAGGAAGCAGATGTAAAATTTTGCTACTTCCATAAGAAGGCAACCCAATCGTATTCAATTGTTTCCAATGTACCTTCTCTGTGCGGATGAGTTGGCAATAGGCCGTGCCACGCCGTGTCCAGCAGAGTAAACGACGCCCTTTTAGCGCGGTAGATAACGACACCGAAACTCCAGCTCCTAGTAAGTCGGTTACCAAACTCTCTGGCCGTGGTTTCATCATCTTGATCATAGCGGCATCGATTTTCTGCAGAGCTACATCAGTAAGCTTGGTCGGTCTGCCAGATTTAGGTAGCGGTGTTATCGTCTCCTGCATCTTGAAGTGACCTTCCAGACGCTACACCGTCTGAGTTCGAATACCTTCCTGCGTCAAGGCGGTCACAACTTGACAACTGGTATACCCTTCTGCCAGCAACTGCCGAATACGTTCCCTAGCATACATAGAGAGACGCGGTCTTTGTCGGCGGCTGTTTCCCATAACCTGCAGGTACATACGTACCTGCGCATGTGCGCCATAGATATTATTTTACGTACGTACATAAAGTGCGCACCTCCGCTGTTCTCGCATACGTACCATTCCGCTGTTGTCCCGGCCGTTCTGCGTACGCGAGGAATTCCGACTTTACGCGCGTAGATTACGATATTCCACAGTGGCTGTAAATCTTCTGCAGAAATTTATACAGGCGTCCCACTATGTGGAAAACCGTATTCCTGCGGAATGTTGCATTTATTCCGTAACCCTTATCTGATTAAAAGCTTAGTGGAATATCATGTCATTGAAGTAACTCTCGTGTCAATTAAATGGGGCAGAAGACGATAGACTGAAAGTGGAGGGACGGGGCCAAATGGTACTGACACTCAATATCACGAGAGTGCTGGGATTTGTGGCAAGTCTAGAAAAGCAACCTTTTTTTTCCAGATATCCAAGTTTTTTCCCCATATTATCTAGTACTCTTCTGTCTACTGCCCATGTTTTTTAATGGAACTTACAGAGGATGTCTCCTCCACTCAAGCCATGAATTTCTCCTGTCCAGCTGTTTTACGACCTGCTTCACTTCCAGTTCATCCTTTTGAAGGATTGGGAATCTGAACAACCCACAATACGCTGTTTTCTGTCGTTTGTTTGATAGACAAGTGCAAAGCGAAATGAAGTCTGCTATCAGCTTCTAAACCCTCTACTTCGTAGGGTTGCCCACAGCGCAGCGCAAATACCGGTACCGGGAGAGCAGCAAATAGTATACACCACCTCACTCAATTACAGAAGTACAGACGGAGGAGCGGGGAAGCCAACGAAGAAGACAACCGCAGGTGGACTTCGCGTTGTCTGCGCACGTCGAGAATGATGTGCTGTATTGTGTGCCAGTGGAGTCCAAGAAGAAGGTCGAGACAAAGGACATGGTGCAACTGTCGGACTACCAAGCGGCTTTGGGGGCTTGATGAGAAAGTACGTAAGTGTTGGGATTCTAGTGGATGAACACTGTGTTCGGTTTACATTCAGCCCTTGGTGCTTTGAAGATGAAGTTCCTGTACCTGTCACCATCGTCTCACCTGTTCTGGAATGGAGGCATGGACCAGTGATATCTCAAGCGACCAGCACTGCGCTATGCCTCATGCCAACACTCATCATTCAGCGACTGCCCATTAAAGATGATCGAGGTGCAGCTGCATTTGGGGGACACACCCGAGAGAAGGCCATGAAACAGGAGGGGAGAGAGGTGCAGCTTCCTCTTTCTCGAGAGGGAGTTCCCTATAACCTTATAGTTGAAATGGAAGAGCTGAAAGCTGAAGTGGCCATCCTGAAGCAGGGGGCTTGCATGGGGTCCCCGTGCCCCCCTTCTGTGTGCCTCCCCAAGGAGATGGAGTGCTAGCACCCCCACACGGGGCTCGAGGAAGAGAGACTGGGCAGAGATCTGAAAATGTGTTACCATGAATTATGCACATTTTATGTTGCTTTCTATTATGTAACCCTGTAGTACACGAGGCATGGACTAGTGATACAACTCTGAGCTACCTACACTGCGCCGCGCTGACTGCCCATCTACAGTGATCTAGCTACAATAGTTGTGCATATTATAGTGAGTTTCTCCCTCATTATAGGACAGCCTTGGCATTGGGTCGGGCCACTCAAAATGACAAATAGCTACATACCCCAGTATCTGCACGTCAGAATAATTGTATTGAGCCATCCCCACTTGTCCCTTCCAAGAACTCATTCGAGAAGAATCCTGGCTGTACTTCCTCTTTGTAGAGCTGACTAAGGAGCTGACTCAGGAGCTGTTGGTGTAAGGATCCCCTATCTTATCTAGTGGGAGAAAAGGGTGGTAGTGTGTAGATGTGACTAGACCCAGGACTCTGCTCAGGCAATGCCTCCATTCTGAAATTGTTGTTTATTCTCAGACATTCTAGGGGAGAACCCTTATATTCTACCATATCCACTTTGCATGTTTCCGTCTACTATCGAAAAAGGTAAATTCATGCCGAACCCCTAATTCTGGAGGACGAATTCAGGTGTGGAGCTCTCTGTAGGACAAACTGCAGCGTGGAACCCTCTGTAGGACGAGCTGTGGCATGGAACTCTCTGAATAGCTGTAGCATGGAGCTCTGCGTATGCATGTGTGATAGTGTGAGGTGATAAGGCTTGCCTTAGATCGTATGCAAGACGAGAGAGGAAGAGTGTGTGTTTGTGTATGTTTAGTATGAACAACAATGCCTGGGCCAAGGTCGGAAAGTAGGAAACCACTCCAAATTCTGTTGCTGTTGGGCAGGGCACAAAGAAAAAAAGCCAGTAGTACTTTTCACTACTCATCCCCCCAACGCCCAGAGTCTGTAAATTATGTCGAGGTTTGCCTTTGCCTTGTGTTGTAGATTTGAGCCCCTGCCTGCTGAGCTGCCCTGGTAGCTCAATGGGTAAGAGCACTCTGCCTAGACTGCAGAGTGTCGTGGGTTACCAACATGCCATGAACCACAGCTACAAGGCTAACATACTGAGCCCTCTGCTTTGCCTTGCCTGCAATAGTATCTTTAGTGTATTCAGTGTAGTTACTAAGAACAACCCCATGCCTTCCCACCCAATGTACCATGGGAAGAGTAGGACAGACTGGGAAAATTCCCAACCTGTACCACTCTCGTACCTGCATCTTACTGTCCATCCCATCCAAAGAGACTGGATCAGCCCAAGAAAGCAGGTAAATCGCTGTCTGTCTGCAAGAGCCGTCTTAGAGCGCTTATATGCGGTTTCAGATGATAACGCTACACTTCCGCATGCGCTAGTGTTGGTGTCCGGCGTCTCCTACCCAACGTCTACCTCACGTGATGTTTTCAGACCAGGCCTTCCCCGCTTTTAACTATTTATATAGCGGGAGGACTCCTCAGCTGGTCCCGCGTCATTAGTAAAGTCATATATACAAACAAATGGAAAATGGGGTAGGTACAGATCATGTACCAAAGGGGCAAAAAAGCACTACATCTTCTCAAACACAATGAGGGAGGTTCAAACAGGGACAGTGGGGAAAATGTACGTGACATTGTCCAATGCAGCCAGCCAGCCAGCAGAGATGAGAAAGTCAAACGAATTGGCCTGTATACTACAAGGAACATAAGCAGGATGCTATAAAAGGAGTTTGGCTGTCATACATTGGTGCACAAGAAGAGCCAGTTGGTGTGCTGATGCAGCAAGTTGTACATGGAACTTGTTGTGGTTGGTATTCATCTCTTAGCTTGTGTGCTATACACATGTTATTTCATGTACGGTAAAGGCTATCTCCCTCTTTTCCTTCTTCTCTTACTCCCTTCGCTTTGCCTCTCTCTCGGAACGATCGGTACGCTCCCTCGCGATTTCGCGGCTCTGCGTTTCTCTGAGACTGAGTTTTGGCATTGAGCAGGGGGTCTGCCAGCCAAAGTTTAAGTCCATCACTGAAGAGATAGTCGTGTTGGCTGCTCTGTCTGTGTCTACTCAGATGTGTAGGCACGTGGCGTTCGACAGTCGTCCCTTCGGCGACTTCGAACGCCGTCGCTTGGTTGTTGCCGGTGGTGCTGACGACCTCTCTTGTACTTGCTGCTGGCTGCCCGGTCTCTGTCTGCGTTCTGTGCTGGCCAGTGTCGTCGTGTGCCTGATCGGGTTGCCCGTTTGCCCATGTAGGCTCGGAGCATCGTCCCGATCGCAGCTCACCGCGGCTCCCCGCTGTTGAAACGGAGACGCGGTCCCAGTCGACGTCCCTCGTTGCCTGGGACTCATCTCTGGTTTCTCCGATGCCCGAGGAGGAGTTTCACACTTGTGCACGAGGAAGTCAACCCGTGACTCCCGTACTCCATGTCGTTAGGTATATATATTCTCTGAGGTCTATAAGAGTAAAATAACCCCAAAACAGAATTTCACTGAAGTAGTGTCGTATTGTCAGTTTACACATAATTCATTCCAGCAACTTATGGTCCATTTTAGTGTTAGTGTTTCAGGCTTGCTAGCCCTCATCAGCAGAGCATAGGAACTCTCCTCTCCAGGCATTAGAGTTTATAAAGGCTACCAGTAGTGCAGCACTTGGTTTATGGATTCATACCAACAAGGCTTTACCACTGACATGTGCTGACCTATCCCAGACAGTTATGGTTTAGTCTCCATGTACAAGCCGAAACTCGATTTGACACGGTGGATTGGGTTGCACATTTGGGTGCAAGTGATGTGTAGGATTTGGCAGTCCCGCTGCACAGCATAGGTCCATCCCCGACCACCTGCAATGCTGGTGCAGATTACTGGGCCATCAGCTCATCCTCTGGGTGCATAGTCGAAGCAGAAGCAGCTGCATCCTCGAGAATATTGCCAGGGTAAAGCTCCTGCAGGTATGAATCTCTGGACTCTGCCATGAGAAATATCAACATGAAATGTAAGCTGCGAGGATTGCTAATCCAGACCTGATTCTCTGCAGCAGTATTGAAAGGGTAGCCATTGGGGACATGAGTGGGATGACTCCTGAAGGTGTACCGACTGGTAACGTTGATGCCGCCCCTGGTTGTGGTCCCAACTGGTGCTGCTGTCATGTTCTGGTTAATGAAGCCTAGTTTTGTGGACTATCATAATGACACTTGAACATGTATATAGCTAGCAGTAGTAGACTAGCAGTTGAAACATTCTGGTCTCATTCTGCTACAGTGGGATCAAAGGAGGATCGGCGGGGTCCCTTCTCTTGCAGCTTCTTTACTGATGAGATACGAATTGACCAGGAAACAACATTTCCTTTGTTGGTGGCAGAGAGCAGGAGAAGGAGAGCAGTCTTCATCTTCACTCAGTTGATTCCCTTGCTTCTGTTCCACCTTAAGTTGTAGTAGGAAGTTGCTTGGTGTACCTCGATGGTCCTACTGGAACGTCAGTGCCTCTTTTAAACTCCGCAGCTTCTACATGCACGTTGCATAGATTAGATTTCTATTTGGGTACCTACCTGAGTTTATGTTTGTTGGCAAAGGAAATTGAGTGCTTGCGGTAGTTATTGGCGAGCGGGAGCGTCCAAACGGCGCGATTTTTCTATGGCGAGCGGGAACGAGCCAACCTAGTCGTCGCAACTGGGCCGATTTTACTATATTTATTTATTTATTTATCGTTGGTATGTCGTGTTAATGCGCAGTGCGCGGCTTTGTAAGCGCTTCTTTTTATCCGAAACTATTTCCAAATTCTTTACACATTTTCACAACACGGTGCCTCTCGGAAGGTACTGCGCCGATCAATCTAGCCAGCGAGAGAGAACTTTCCTCTATTCGACGGCATGCGCTAACCAACCTCGGTGACTGACCGAGGCTGTATATACCTCTTCACAATCTTCATGGTTCCAAGGTGCAACTTGCAAATACGCTATGATTGCTCGTGCACATACTGCTGCATGCCAGCTCGGGTGGACCACGACTGACGAGCTGAAAGCGTAAGGTAAGTACCGTCTGCTCACCTGCTCACCGTTCTGCCATGTACAATACACGTGTAACGGCGACAGGTAGGTCTGTGTTGCTGAAAGGAAAGCTGTGCGCTGATGGCACATTATGCAGCCCGAACATCGCAGGCAAATCCCAAGTTGGGTCTGCTCCCGCTCGCCAACAATGTTCAACATTCCACTACTATAGACCGACTGTACGTCATGTAAGTGTGCATGCGCGGCTTCGTTACGCGCTTCTTCTTATCCGAAATCATTTCCTTTTTTTCACATGTGCTACCTGCGCATGCGTCAGGATAACGTGCCTCTACACGCTGCTATGATGGCTCGTGCAGAGAGTCATTGTGTGCTCGCTCCCGCTCGCAAAAAATGCCATGCATTCGCCTACTAGTATGTTTTTGTCTTGATAGTTGGCGAGAGGGAGCGACCATGCAACCTAGTGATATATATATCGTTGGTACGTCGTGTAAGTGTGCATGTGCGGCTTCTTACGCCCTTCTATTTATCTGAAATCATTTTCAAATACAGTGGGACCAGCATTTGTAACCGGCGAGAAAGGTGCAGAGTTGAGAGACGCAAACTCTCGCACAAACTGCAAAGAAGAGGCAGAATGTAATGCAGCATAAAATTATGGCTTTAGGAAACCTAAATTAGAGGAGGTTATTGGGGAGGGTACATTTGGAACTGTTCATCGGGCTGTTTGGATAGGCACAGTTGTTGCGGCCAAAGTCATCAACATACCAGCAGGAAGCGAAAGCACTGTGCAGAAGGAGATGTGTAGTCATGTGCAAGTATGTACACTATAACCAGGCAGGAAACATAAACCAATGTTCTTGATGCAGGGCAATTCAACACCCAAATATCCTACATGTTCTTGGCTCTGTTCTGTTGGATAGAAAGATTGCTATACTGAGTAATCCTGTTCAGGGAGGGAACCTTCAAGATCTCATTCTGAACTCCTTTGACAAGGTATATAGCTAACTACTGTTTTTGGATCCTCAAAAGGTTTATGCAAAGGAAACCAATAGCTCAAGCTATCGCCTTTCTTCACAGCAACATACCAAGAATTGTTCACCTTCGATGTGAAACCAGCAAATGTATTGGTGAGTGTATGTCACAGCCTCGAAAAGGTCGTTGAAGATATCTTTGTTGGCCATTCTTCAGCTCTGGCGCCCACTTTACACAACACGTCCTTCTGGGGTAACTTTTTGCACACACTGCAGTTCGAACTCTCAGGGGGCTTGATGAAGGTAAATTCCGACAACCTACATGGACCGGCTCTAAGACCTATCAGCCATACATGTTCATGCACACTGAAACAGTGTACGTCATATAACAACTTAGAGCATTTCTGTCCTCTTCTTACATGAGGCCTGGGTATACTGCAGAGCACCTGCCTGCACGCTCGTCGTTATGCGCGCACAGGAAAGTAAACACATCCAGCTGTTGCGCCATTGCCGCTCGCATTCAATTGTGCGATCGATTGAGAGGTTCGATATGGCGTCCCCACAAGGCGGTGAGTTTAAATAGTTTATTTTTGTACGCTAATATCATACCCTAACAGAATTTGACATGAGGTAGTCGCGGGAAAAACATTATTGAATTGAATTGAGGAATGAAAATATTTTTCTGCGTGTGAAGCGAGCAGTTCAATATTTTGGGTGCTTTGGATGGCGTGCGTTTAAAACTACGGTGTGTGCAGTGACCGGCAGTGCAAGTTGTAGAGAAAATTCTAGACTAGGTAGGCCCACTTCGCACACCAAAAATACACATATGGAGTACCGTTTACTAAAATTAAGCCACCCATAATTACAGAACAACACCTTAGGGTGGGCCATCACCCACACAGGGTACACTGTACATGGACTTTCCCTTCCATAGCAGCTGTATAAGCGAAGATGGTGCAAATACAGAAGATAAATGCAGAAAAAAGAGAGAGAGATCGAAGGGACACTGCGTGCAGATTTTAAAACATGAGGCTTATGGAGATATAAGATTGTCTTTCACATAAGAGACATAGGCAGTGAAATAAAGTTCCGATGGAGTTGTCCGACATAGCTGCCGACGTCTCTCTGCAGCTTCATTAGTTAAGCTCTGGTAGAGGAGAGTAGGTAGTTATTGTAATGATGTGGTACACCGGCCAGTTAAAAGAAAAAGCCCTTAGGTCAACAACTCAGCTGAGATTTACATATTAAGGCAGTGATACAGAGCCTTCCACATACAAATGCCATCTATCACACGGACTATGATTTTTAGAATTATATTGGATCAGTGTTGAAGTTAAGAAGGAAGACAGGCTCTTATAAGCAATTGACACAGACCTCGTTGAAATGTGCACAAAAAACATCTCAATGGGGTGGCAATAACATGGACTAAGTGAATATCCTACCATTGCATCGGTGCTACTGTACATACAGAAAAGGAATTTAAACATGACACAGGTCACAGTATTAGAGTAGGCTATATTTCATCTGCTCAAGAACTGTCTTTACTACCTGCATATAACAGTAGGGTGGCCAGAGGAAATAGCACTAAGCAGACAGTAGGCATGAAAGACTACCCTGGCCTAGGAGCCTTACTCTGACACCGGATACAGTGAGTGTAATTTAATTTATTACTGGTGCTTTGCACTTAATCATCAGCAAAAGGTGACCTGTGTGAAATGTGTAATCAAGGTGTACCTATCTTTGGGACATTTTAACACAATCATGCTCGTTATTGCGCATGCGTGCACATACCGTTTAATCACAATTTTCCGCACGGTCAATTTGCGCATGCTATACGCGTACTGTTTCACGTTTTTATACACTACTGGAGCTTTACTCTGGAGTCTGTAATCCACTAGTGTAGTAAAGTAGCGGAACAATTGTGGGCCATGAGTGCTATCCCTACTCATAAATTCAAAGTATTCTTAAGCTAAGAAACAGTTGGAAGGTAAAAATACCCCAGTAAATCTCCTTGTTTTCTTTCGGGTTCTCCGGGGATAGGAAGGTCTCGTCCCCACTGGGAGCTTGTGTTTCCTGCCACGCTTCCTCACAGTGGAATCAATAACGACTCTGGTTGTGGTGTCAGTGAAGGTGTCCTCCATTAGGAGAGAGCTGCGCTCCAGAACAGCCACATAGGGTTTGGAGTCGCTGCGGGGCAGACCCTCAGGCACAGCAGACGGAGAGGGGACCCTATAATCCGAAGGTGATCAGTTTAGAACATCGTTACCAGATAGACCAGAGGGCTGTCCAGAGAAGGCTGGTGCTGCTAGAGATTTAGACACACTTCTCAATGGTAGTAGTTGGATGGATGTCGCGAGATGAAAAGTTTGTCTAGTCACATAGACCTCAGTGACTCAGAGGTCAGTCACATAGAGCTCATCAACATCCACTGAATGTTACAGGGTGTTGCTACTTACAGGTGTTGAAGGGGACTTTACAATGTATTTTACAGTCTCTTGAGTAAAACAATCCAAATTGCGTAGGCCAGCAAGAAACCTTGGCACTACCTTTAACCTGCCTTCTTTCTTACCGCCATCGCTCTTACTCTAATATTGCAGCTGTTGTTCTTGGTGGCATTGCACACACAATCATGTCTACGTGCGATTTTCATGCGAAAATACAGATGAATTAATGTGTTGATTTTGTAAGAGATAATGTGCGTTTAGAGTTCTATACGTGATTTATTGGAATGAGGGGTGTGGCCGAGAGACTACAACCCGAGTTCCAATAGAACTCTAAACACACATTATGTGTTTTATTGTGACTTTGTAGCAGTCTAGCAGTCGTCGACCTCCAGCAGCGAGAGAAAGCTGACGGTGTAGAATAAAGTGCATGCTGTTCGGTAAGATTGCGCACGCGTACGCCGCATCGTACAGCAATCCGATTGGACAGTTGCGCCATTTCCATATAAGGGCAGGAATCGCTCACTGGTCGTGGCTAAGGTGTATCCAATGCAGCAGCAATCTGATTAGTGTGTTGCTTTGCAACAATCGTGACGTAAACCGATTTTATATAAGGCTGAAAAAAGGCGCCAAGAAGCAGTTCGAGCGATGGGGGACGAACCGGCAGTGTCGCCGTCTCTTCTCAGACCCCTCGAGAATTTTCCCCAGTGCTACGATAGAGCTTTTTGGTTTGGGAGTCTCTGAGCTGCTAGGCGAGCCTCTTTCGACAAAGAGGCTTCATCTCAGCGAGCTCCGGAATACCCTGGATACCGTATGTATCCAGTTAAGGAAGGAGGGTATTGGCGCCGAGATTTCTCATGCCCCAGTGGTATTATATGAACACGAGATGATGATGTGGAAGAGCGGCGTATTGGGGTTTGAACCACCAGAAGCACTATTTCGTGCAGTGCTCATGACAGTTGGAATGTATTTCAGCCTAAGGGGAGGGCAGGAAAATTATGATTTGAAAGTCGATCAGTTCAAGCGGGATCCAGCGGTAGGTTATTCTAAAGAAACGCAAAATGCATTATAGATATGTTGAGAATGGCTCGAAGAACTATCAAAGGCGTTTTTCAGAATGTAACAAAAGCAACAGAATAGTGAAAGTTTTGCTGAGCCGGAGTCGGACAAATGTCCAGTGCGTATCTTGGATAGTTACCTCTCTAAACTCCCTAAAAACCCACCTGCCTTCTACCTTCAGTGGCTTTCTCGAGTTCCTGAAAGTCCTATTCAGCCATGGTACAAGAGAGTGCGTATGGGGATCAATCCATTGAAGAAACTGATGCCCATTACTATATCCGAACATGCTGTTCGCTACACTAATCACAGCCTCAGGGCTACAGCTGCTACTCGAAAGTTTGCTTCTGGAATTGCAGAAAAGGTTGTTGGCGAAGTGACTGGACATAGGAGCCTGAAAGCTCTACGTACTTAAGAACGCACACTGAGGACCAGCAACGTGCTGCAAGTCTGGCCATCTCGAATGTTGCCCTTGCGGAGTGTAAGGATGAGATTAAGAAAGGTCCACCAGCAACTTCCACAAATCAGTGGAAACTTGTCTAACTGTACTTTCAACTTCAACTTTGGAGTCATGTAGTCTTGGTCTTCACTGTACTCCCCTGTATATGATGCCTGTTCTTTTATTGAACGTTCAATATTGGTCATATTGAACTCGTGCTATATACAATACGGGAAATAAAAGTATGCGCGGCTCTTTTGATCCACCCATGCAAGTCACAATAAGTTCTATTAACGTTTACGTGCTTTTCATGCGAAAATACACGTGAATTAATGTGTTGCTTTTTTAGTGGGTCTAGGCATTTCACAACATATTTCTTTATATCTCCATTTAGCTTTATGAAGGATCATTGCGACAGCTATCAGGGAGCTCATCAAGCCTTGAAGAATGATGAGCACATGGAGCACATGTGATTTTGCGATCCTATATACTTCATTGTTGTCCATCAATAGCTCCACTCCATGAATCATGACCAAATGTGTAATTGTGGCTCATTCCTCGCCATGTTGGCAACTGTGCTACCACCAGGTGTGTAATGAGGGTAAGGGTGTAATGAGTGGAATTACAGGTGGGTTTGTTGCAGCGTAATACGGACCCTTATCCCACATATTATCATTCTTTCTTGGTGCACCACAGGCATTATATTTACAGGGTGGTTCAACTCTAACCGAACCTCCTCCAACCACTGAGCTCCAGAGGGAACAAGGATCATAGGGTAATTCCTCATGATGTTCGGGGTGGTTCAACTTATCACAACCTGTTCGAACCGTAGTAAAACACAGGCAGCCACATGGCATAGCGTATATATACACTTTCCGCATTGAAACAGTTAACTCTTTGGGGTCCACATTACGGGCGCAATTGCCTATGTAATCCGGAATATAGGTAACGTTTTAGCCTACTTCAGCAGAGTGAATAGGCGGCTCCGCGTCGGTCTGAGGTCCGCTTAGGTCTTAGGTACGCGGTACGCGTAGGTCTTAGGTCATAGGTACGAGGTCACGTGACATCATAATGCGCATGCACGCAGATCGCGACGGTCTTAGGTACTAGGTCGATCGAAGGTGCGAGGTAAACGCGCTTGCCAGAATCCGTGGAGAAGACGTCTCAGCTTCTGTCTCACCTTCTGAAATGTCGAGATCGCATCATTTCCGCGGCATCGTACAGTATGCCGAGCAGTTGATGGACATTGCGGAGGGACGGCCCGCGTTCACTGGGAGAGGCCAAACACCGTGGAATAAAGAAGTCTCGGCAGCGATCGCCTCAATCAAGAAGTGCCGACAGGGTTCTTTTTTCAAGCCTTCCGCGAACAAGCCGTGTTCGTGCGGTTGGCATACAAAAGCGGCTGCCAGGAAGAAGGCGAGGCAGGCACAGTCGGACGCTTCTGCTTCGTCCCTGCCCCGTTCTACTACTTCTTCCAGCACCACTGCATCCACCAGCAGCACAACTTCTTCTACAGACCAACCTCAGGTTGGAGCTGGACCAGTCCCTCCCAAGTTCGACAGGAGTGAGTCGAGGGCGAGGCAGGCACAGTCGGACGCTTCTGCTTCGTCCCTGCCCACCCGTTCTAATACTTCTTCCAGCACCGCTGCATCCACCAGCAGCACAACTTCTTCTACAGACCAACCTCAGGTTGGAGCTGGACCAGTCCCTCCCAAGTTTGACAGGAGTGACTTTCAATCGCCTACCATCAGTGAGTTGAGGGCGATCGGCATCGGGACTAAAACCTCTCCGGGTAAGCTGGATCTGCTGGTCTATTGCCCACTGATGGGCAGGTGTCCTCACTGCAAGTCTGCACTGATAACAGCGAACTCAGTTGGCTAGCGGAAGTTGTGCTACGCCATCTCTTGGCCCAAGACCATCGTTGGAGTGGACATGAGATGCGGCAAATGTAAGAAGCACTTCATGACCCACGACACGAACTACGTGGACGCCCTCCCTTCAGAGGAGCAGGTCAAGCGGGAGTTTGTCACCGTCAAGGGCAATGGAAGCCACATTTCCCTGCTCCGCTTGCTTCGATCAGGTTTGACTGTGGCCCAAGTGGAGCGGTATGTCGAGGATGAAGTCTGGGAGCACTACCTCCTGCTGAAGGCAAAGTACATCGAGCTTTGGGACAAGGTATTTACTAAATATAGAATATCTGACTTGTTACTGCCGTAGGTAACTATTGTCATCAAATGAAATTTGTTTCCTCTGTTTTGTTTCTTTGTTTTGATATCTAGGTGGATGCTATGCGTGGTGTTGGCAAGGTGAACGTGGCTCCCCGCGATGCTTTTCCTCCATTCCCTCCCCATTATGTTCCGCACAGACCGCACCTCACGGCAATGTTCGTCAGGGACTACTGGGAGAACAAGTCACACATCATGCGTGAGCTGCGCACCATTGTCAACGATCACAGTCTCGCAGTCGACCACCAGCGCAAGGTTGTCAAGAGTACCCTTGGTGGTGACATATTGGGCCACGGTGGGCAGACGTTCACCATATGTGGTGACTTTGGTCTGATCTGTGGAGTGTACGTAGTGCCCGACACAGCACTCTCCTGGGTGAAGTAGGCGATGTCCGAAGTAATCGACCGACACGAGTCAGCGGGAGTGGAGGTACCCCGGTCTTTGTACATGGACTGTGGATGCTGCAGTGGCAAGGCGGGGCTCTCTTCAGTCCACCTTGAGCGACACGGGCACAAGTGTGGCAGCCTTGTGGCGGTCGATCTTTTCCGTCAAGCTTGATGCCATGCATTTGATGCTACGCATTGGGCGGGAAATGAATGCCGAGCACCCCCGTCGCAAGAAGCTCCTCATTGACCTGAGCCACGCAATCTTCGTCCAACATGAGGGTGATCGACAGCGGTTGATGAAGGCAAGGGAAGCTGCTGGACTTGAAGGACCGCCGACACGTACCGAGAGGGTGAAATTCATCCGCCGAGTGGTTGGTGAGCCGGAGAGTGTTGGCAGACGGATGGTTTTGGTGCTGAAGGCCCACCGAGAGCTAGATTTTCAATGCCGTACTCAAGCAGAAGCAGCTGGCATGGAAGTGGACAACCTTACGGTCGCCGATCTTGCGTATCCCTTTGCCACAAGAAGGCTAACGAGTGTGTTTCAGCAGCAGCTTGTCCACGTCCACAATGGATGCATTTCCGATGACCCTGAATGCCTGCCATATGTGAAGGTGGGCACAATCAACTACCACTCGACCGGCCATCATTTGGAGCACTACCAGTCACTGCGTGGGACAAGCAAGGTGGAAGCTGTCCATTCGGTACTCGACCGAACCTTCTACTCCCAGCGTGGTATTGGTGCAGAAGTCTTCGATGCGCGGTTGGGATGGTGGATTCTGGGGTACAATCGTCGCCGCCTGCGTGCTCTTGGCAAGAAGGTTCCGCCAGACAGCATGCCACCAAAGGTATATTTGTTAAACATTTTGATATAAATTTCGCTTCGGTAGCATGTTTCTTCAATTGTTTTGTTCTTTGTAATATTTCTTTTGAATTACACCTGTACGTATGGCCTTACATTCTGCTTTTGTATAATTTAGGTGTGCGAACACTACATGGCACGTGGGCTGTGCACTGACTTCCCTGACTGGTCAATAGCTGCAGCAGGCTCTGAGGCCAGTGTCAAAATTGGCTATGACTATGGACGCTTCGTGACTGGCGAGGAACAGCAGATTGAGCCTGATTTGAACGAGGAAGCAGTGCATACTGATGGCGATCAGGTTGTACCTGACCCTCTGGAGGAAAGATCAATGGTGGCGACATCAGCTGAGGTATTTACTTGTTTTTTTGTCTCAGATTGTTGTAATGGACTTCTTCGTTGTGCTGTTTACAATTTTTCATTCTGTGTGGCTTCAGGCACTAGAGGAGCTCGGGCTTGATGCAGTCGACCTGGTCGATGAAGCACCATCTATTTTTGAGTCAACATCTCAAGAACGCGGTGAGTAGAATTCTGTTACTTTGTACTGTCTGATTAAATGGGACAAGACACACAATTATGAGAACCAATGAGTCAGATTCTTGTCATATGTACATCTCTTGGAAATAAGGGGATATTTTTCCATCCTCACCAGAGTCGCCAAATGCCAGTGCTGCCTTCAATGTGCCAGAGGACGTGGACATGTCCATAGAAGGTGAATTCATTATTGTTAAGCAGTTTTCATAGGGACACGATAAAATCATAATAATAGACGGCTGGAGTGATGCTCGTTATAGCAATTGGTTCTCTTAGGGATATGGAAAGAAGTTTAGCTTGTTTTTCTTACTCTTTAGAATCACCAAGTGTCAGCACTGCCTCCAATGGGGATGAGGAGATGCCCATAGATGGTGAGCTCCTCTAATTTTCTTAACTAATAATTATTACACAATTGTGTGATGTAGTGATTTATTTTTTCTTCTTTCACGACTCTTGATGCTGCCTGTTCCAGCTTGGAAGAGCGTTCCTCTCCCTGACGCTACACCTGGTCGTCGGCGCAATGTGGCACGTCTGCGTGCTATGGGAGGAGACCCCACATGTGTTCCTCCTGATTTCAACAGCAGCATGTTGGATATCTGGGAGGAGTTGTGGCACTCAATGCCCCAGAGTGGCAGAGTTAGCATTACAGTGAACAGCCTGCTGCAGCGTTACAAGGAGCGTTGTAGAGCCGAGAGGAAGCGACCACGACACTCATCTGAGAGCCCTGCAGCCCTGCTGCCAGTTTCGTTTGCACAGGCCAAGGACTGGCTGCTAAGGCAGCAAAAAGCCCAGTCCGAAGCCCTTCAGACAGGTGCGGTGAACGAGGATGCACGGGAGGTTATTGCTGACCTCAACCGTTCTCTGGCTGAGCAGCCAGCATCAACGGCTGCACTTCTGGAGCAGCCAGCTCGCCCGGCCTCTCCACCTAGATATCAAAACAAAGAAACAAAACGGAGATGGTAGTAGTTAGCCCCCTTACATCAGAAGCAATATTGGGTATTGATTTCCTCCAGGCTCAACAAGCCATGATTGACCTGGGCCGGGGAACCCTACAGCTACGACAGAGTGGGTGCGATATCCTACTAGATGCACCTACCCACACCAAGTCCTCCATCGACACCCAGCAAGTGTGCATGTCCAGTACAGTGGAGATACCACCCCGCATCGTCATGACGGTGTGTGCTCGTTTCGAAAAACCTGCTGATGGGGTGTGGCTAGTGGAGGACAAGCAGCCACATCTTGCGGTGGGGTGTGCTGTTGTCGAGCCATCGTCCACAGACGTACCGGTATGTGTACTAAACGTCTCCGATGAGCCTGTAACTCTGTATGCTGGAACTGTTGTGGCAAGCTTACAGCCTGTGGAAGTACCCACCGGGGCGAATGCAACAGACCAGGGTGCCATCCCTGGTCTGTTGATGGGAAGAGACAGCTGCAATGGCAACTGGTGGAAGGGTGCAGCACTGACCTTAGTGCAAGCGACAGGGACATATTTTATAGTCTCCTGCTTAAACATGCTGACATCTTCGCCTCGTCGACCGCAGACTTCGGAAGAACGGACAAAGTTCGCCACAGCATTGACACTGGCACTGCACCACCCATCAGGCAACCAGCTCGGCGCATCTCTCTTCACCGCCGTGAGGAGGTCAAGACGCTGCTGGAGCAGATGCTGGAGAAGGGGGTCGTCGAACCTTCGTCCAGTCCCTGGGCCTCACCCGTTGTATTGGTTCGTAAAAAAGATGGCTCCATGCAGTTCTGTATCGACTATAGAAAGCTTAACGAAGTCACCAGAAAAGACGCTTACCCCTTACCGCGCATCGATGTTACCTTGGACACTCTCCACGGTTCACATTGGTTTACGATTCTCGACCTGCTTAGTGGCTACTGGCAGGTCCAGGTGGAGGAGGCTGACAAGGAGAAGACCGCCTTCTGTACTCCGGAGGGCCTCTATCACTTCCGGGTTATGCCCTTCGGGTTGTGTAACGCCCCAGCCACTTTCCAACGGCTCATGGACCTCGTGTTGTCAGGGCTGCAGTGGTCCCAATGCTTAGTATATCTTGACGATATAATCGTGTTGGGCCACTCCTTCGAAACACACCTTCAGAACTTGGATTCGGTGTTTCAACGACTCTGGGAAGCGGGTCTCCGTCTAAAGCCTGCCAAATGTGCCTTTTTCAGAGAAGAGGTACAATACCTTGGCCATGTGATATCTCGCCAGGGAGTGGCCACCGACCCTGAAAAAGTGGCGAAGGTTGCAACATGGCCTGTACCAACCTCGAGACGTGAAGTACAGCAGTTTATCGGTTTTGCCAACTACTATCGGAGGTTCATTAAGGATTTCCCACAGGAGACAAGACCACTTCATTGACTGACAGAGCATGCGTCGCCATTTATCTGGACTGATGAGTGCCAGAAATCCTTTGACCAGCTTCGACAGCGGCTCTTCTCAGCCCCAGTTCTGGCCTACCCAGATTTTCAGCAGCCTTTCATCTTGGACACGGATGCTAGCGACACTGGCATCGGCGGAGTCCTCTCCCAAGTGGATGATGAAGGCAGGGAGAGGTTCATCGCGTATGGCAGCCGGTTGCTGACTAAACCTGAGAGGAAGTACTGCGTTACCCGCCGGGAGATTTTGGCTGTGGTAACATTTATCCAACAATACCGCCCCTACCTCATCTGCCGAAAATTCACTCTTAGAACGGATCACGGCTCGGTTACATGGTTAAGGAATTTCAAGGAGCCAGAGGGCCAACTTGCCAGGTGGCTTGAGCGGTTGGACTTCGAGATAGTACACCGGCGGGGATCGGCCCACAGGAATGCAGACTCTCTCTCTCGGCTCCCTTGTCGACAATGTGGCCGTGCCAGCCATGGCACCACTTCTGAGATAGCTGCAACAGCCCTACAGGGTCCACTTGTTAAACCTAGTGATAGCCTCCATGAGCAGCAGCTAGCCGACCAATCCTTGGGCCCCATTATCTGGGGCAGGGAGACCAGTAACAAACCCGGAGCAAGGTCGTTTGAGGCAGCTACCAGCAAAAGTACACGCCGACTGTTACAAATCTGGGATCAGTTGGTTCTGCATCAAGGCGTGCTGTATAGGCAGTGCAATAGTCCTGACGGTTCCGGAAGGCTCCAGGTTGTGGTGCCAGACAGTTTGCGGCAGGAGGTGCTCTCAGACTTGCACAAGGGGGCTCTCGGTGGCCATCTGGGCACAGACAAGACCCTGGGGCGCCTTAAAGAGCACTTTTACTGGCCAGGACACTACAAGGACGTGAGGGAGTGATGCCACAATTGTGCTGTGTGTGCATCACGCAAGTCCCCGGCAGCTAACCCTCGTGCCCCACTGGAACCTATCATTACCAGCTACCCCCTACAACTTGTCGCTGTGGACATTGTGGGCCCGTTTCCCGAGTCCGAGTCTGGGAATTCCTACATTCTTGTGGTAGCTGATTATTCCGAACCAGGAAGCAACCACAGTGTCCAACAAGTTAGTAGATGAATTCTTCCTGAGGTATTCCCCCCCAGAGCGTTTGCACTCGGATCAGGGACGAAATTTCGAATCAGCCATTGTAACTGAGACATGTAGATTGCTCGGTATCGAGAAGTCCCGGACCACCCTCTACCATCCCCAATCCGATGGGTTGGTGGAGCGTTTCAACCGCACATTGCTGGATATGTTGGCCACAGCTGTGGGGGACCACCCCTTTGAATGGGAGCTACATCTTCGTCGTCCGTGTTGCGCCAACAACACGAGTGTCCACCCGACTACAGGATTTTCTCCGTTCCAGTTGATGTTCGGCCGAGAAGCCCGCATGCCGGTGGACATCATGTTGGGAACAACGAGCTCTACGGAGACTACACTCCCTCAATACGTCACAAGACTCCGTACAATCCTGAAGACCATGTACGAGCATGTACGGAACCATATGGAACAGAAACAGGCAGAACAGAAGCTCCGCTACGATGCAAGAAGCCAGGGGAAGCCCTTCACTATAGGAGATCTGGTCTGGCTCCATAGTCCTGCAGTACCCCGTGGCAAGTCTAGGAAACTCCACAGGCCATGGACTGGGCCATTTCGAATTATCGCCAAACCCTCCGACCCAAATTATCGGTTGCAACACGTACAGTTCCGACACAGGCGACCCGTGGAATTTCTGGATGCAGAAATAGATTCCTTAATAGAATCTGGTTGTGTGGTGCCCTCATCTTCGTGTCCTATGGTGTGTAGCCCACTCTTGGTTGTTTGCAATGCCAAGGGCAAGAAATGTCTTGTAATAGATTTGAGGTACGTGAACAATTTATTGCTTAAGCAGAAGTTCAGGTATTAAGGGTTAAATTTGATTCCGGAGTTTTGTAAGGGAGACTTCTTCGTTACTTTTGATTTGAAATCAGGTTATCATTATGTGGACATTCATCCAGACAGTTCGCCTTTTCTGGGGTTTTCATGGATGATCAAGGGTGAACGGAAGTTTTTTATGTTTACAGTGCTGCCATTTGGTTTGGCTACTGCATGCTATGTTGCTCAGACCGCTACTGAAGCGTTATAAGGGTTTAGAGCAACAATATACATTGATGACGGTATATGTGTAGCAAACCCCTCCAGAGAGTGTGAGGAGGCAAAGAAGGTCATGTTGGAAGACCTTGCAAACGCTGGGTTTGTTATTAACTATACTAAATCACAGTTGGTCCCACAGCAAACCGGCAGATGGCTTGGTTTCCTGTTAGATTTGAAAGAGGGCTTACTCCAAGTGCCTGCTGATAAGATAGTGAAATTGCAGGAGGTTATTGCATGTGTAGACTTGGACGGAGCAATTTCAGCCCCATTATTGGCTAGTATTGTTGGCCAGATTATCTCTATGGGCCTGGCTATTGGCTCCGTAACCCGCCTCCGCACAAGATTCATGTATGAGCTTATTAATAGTCGTCTTTCATGGCGGGATGAGTTTCACCTTTCTGAAAGATGCAAAGGAGGAGCTCCTGCTTTGGAAAGGTAGTATCTCCCATTACAATGGCAAGCCCATCTGGTTTGATGCGGGTACCACCAGGGTGGCTTACTCTGATGCCAGTGATACAGGTTTTGAAGGGTATGTGGTGGAACTGGGGAGGGAGGTGGCGCAGGGGTTGTGGTCAGCGGATGAGGCCATTTAGGAAAGTGGCCAAGCTCTAGGTTGAATCTCTCTGGATGCTCAGACGATGACTGAGTATGCTTTCTTGGTCTGCTGAGATGAGGACGAGCATGAGCTGTGGCAAGATGAGATGACACAAGGGCTTCTACTAGACTCTGCCGGAATTGAAGATGAGAGCATGGGGTTCCTGTGTTGGAGCAGTATAGGATGTAGCTATTGACTATAGTGACTTTGAATATCCAAAAGAACAGCTTTCTCCACCATTTCACACTTTTTCTGATAAAGGAATAGTACACTGTGTACTGGTCGGCTTTATCTACCCCATTCATCGAACGATTATAGTCACCCACTACTTTTGGCTTCACACTAGCATGTCTCGTTGCTACAGAGGTAACTGTAGTAGGCTTAGCACAGCTCTCTGTGCTAACCATAATCACAGGCTTCTTTTTTTAGCTGCTCTCCATCCAAGTGCTAAAAGCCGATTACTACGAAATGCCACAATCTCGTCATTAGCCAGGTGAAAAGATGGTAATCTTATTGTATCAGGCAAATCAATCTGGCTCTTCACGGCTGTCCCAATGAAACCAGTGCCATGTTGCTCTAGTGTCATAGCCAGTGGCAAGCTGATGGAATATCTATCGGTTATGACCGTGTGCCCTTTGTCTAGATATGGCTCTAAAAGGTGGGCCACTATGCGCGCTGGCTGGGGGAGAAGACAATAAGCAACATCGGCTGTATCAGGTGTGTCTCTCCCAGTGTAGATGAGGTGTTTAAGACGTACCTGTTGGTGCTATCTGCAAGCGTGAACGCTTTTATACCGTATTTGTTGGGCTTTGCTGGCATGCACCGTTTAGCTGAAAACCGTCCACGAAAGCCCACCACAGTCTCATCAGCTGAAAGGTTCCGGCTAGGAGAATACGCCTTTTGAAAATTGTAAATGAGCATATCGAGAACGACTTTGTTTAACCTGTCCAGGGAGAGCTCCAGTACGACTCAGGGTAGGTAATTGGATGAGGCCCATGTTGATAATGACCCTGAAGAATCCCTGCCAGTGTTACAGGGGTCCAGTAAGCAAACCTTGATCTCGGGGTAAGATGATTGAGTGTACGTAGTTATTGTACTCTTTCCTCTGCATATCTGTACTGTATGTGTGTATGGGTTGTTTGTGAAGAATGCAATTTGCTGCATGCATATACTTTTATGTATTATTAACCCTCGGCGCGCATGCGCAGCGAGGGTTACAGTAGTTGGGTTTGTCTGTCTGTCTGTCTGTCTGTCTGTCTGTCTGTGTGTTACTCTCAATCTCACTTCTCGGGTGTCTGTTCGTCCCAGAAACGATACCATCTACCCAACAGGCGACGAAGGTCAGAAAATATGTGGGGTTTTCTCTGAAAATGCTCCGTTGCAGAGCTAGAGCGCTTCCACCATTGTACGGCTAATGCGTAGTCGGCCATTTTTATCGCTGCGGAAAAGGCGCATGCGCTTATAACCTCGACCAGGTCCGCTTGCTCTCTGTATCTTGAAGGCACAAGAAGTCACAACGAAGGGCGTGTATCGACTCTCGCATACTATCTACTACTCTAGCTAGCCCGTGTCAGACTCTCTGCGAGCTACTAGCGGGAGACCACGAGTAAACGCATACTAATAGCAGCCTAGCCCATCAATTAGCGGTACCGCGCATCCCCAGTTCGCCGAGGGTTTGCACTTTAGTGCTTTTCATTTTTTCATGGAATATTTTACCAAGTCAGGAGGCTAGGCTGGTAGTGTATGCTGTGTGTATTTTGTACAGTTTATGGGTGTCTAAAAGTTGCATAGTAAATTTTACCGGTTTGTTTCATCCACTATGTGTTGCAGGACTTGTGCCGTAAAAAGAAATCCACAGGCTTGGGATTCTGGGGGAGCTGTAAATCTGGAGCAGCAGGGGGAGAAAATGGACAGTCTGTTAGCTTGGTATCTGTCTCAGGATCAATGGTTACCCATGGCACTGTACTCGTTCGTCGAGATCAAGAGGAACAACCCCCTCCTCTACCGCGTTTTCCTCGTGCTCTTCTACCACGCTCTATTCATGCATTATACAGTAAAATGATTTTGTTCTTGCAAACAACTTAGTAGAGATGATGATCGTAAATACCTCCTCTAGATGGGCGTGTAGAGGAAGACTGGACTGCACCCCTACAGGGGTTCATTAACCCTCAGCGCGCATGGGCAGTGAGGGTTACAGTAGTTGGTTTGTCTGTTTGTCTGTGTGTCGACACTTATTCTGGCACTCCAGGCTACGAGAAGGCCCATTAGCGATATCAGCGGTACGTGAGCCTGAAAAATAAATGGACGATTTTCCTGAAACTACTCCCTTCGGAGAGATATGCCGTGAAAAAAGCGAAAAAGGCTATATGCATAATTGCACTGGGCTTACCACGACCAGATCTGCTCGCTCTGTGTATCTTGGCGGCTCAGGAAGTCACAATGTGTCGACTCCCGGATGCAATCTACTACTGTAGCTAGCCCATGTCAGACTCTACCAAAACTAGTAGGTAAATCTATGGCATTTCGACGAGCGAGAGCGAGTACAAATTTGTTTAGGTTCGGGTTTCGCAATGCATGCAAAAACATGTGTTCCATTAATTAACACATTCCTGCCACTTAGGTGGCAAGTGGCGCTGTGCAATGAATATGTGCGCGCCATTAAAGTGGCGCCTGGCGCGCATAGTGTTAAAAATCCTGCGAATATAAAAAAGAGGCATATAGAGATGGCATGGATACATGAAGCATGGTAAATGAACAGATTTGAGCACGCTGACACCCCTGATCACACAATCCCTATATTGTTGCCAGCCAGGGTGAACAATAGTCAGAACTTACAGCTTGAAAATACAAAAATGTCAAGCTACTCAGTAACCAACACCGTTACCGTAACAATGTGTAGCTTAAAAAGTCATGCTACTGAGTAACCAAAGTCCAAATGGAGTTTACAAGTGGAACACCAGGCAACAATATTGTGATTGTGTGATGGGAGCATGCTCAAATTTGTTTATTGACCATGCTTCATGTATCCCATCCATATTTTGTCTCCTTTTCTTTGTATACCATCCCTTTTTAATTCCCAGGATTTTTAATTTACACTGTAACGACAAGAATACAATGGAGTAAACATGACGGTACAGTACTTAGGTACACGAAACAGTCGTACCACTGCTCTCTCTCTCATTTGCTGGTTCAGCCATCTCTGTGGCTCACAGCAGTTACACTGCAGCCCAAAATCTGTGGCGCATTTGAGGGACTCCAGTGAAGATAAAATCCCATGAACACACTCGTGACGTAGAGACACAATGTAAGATGGCACACCAAACTGCAAAAAAAACATAAGCCACATTTCATCGCATTTACATGTCCATACAGCACATACATACAACACTTACATGTCCCAAAACTGTTTTAACCCTCTTACCGCGTACTTCATATATTTATGCATGCGCGGTATATCTAGCCAGCGCGTACTACATATATTTATGTCGGGCGATATGCATCTACCTTGTGCTCCAGCAGGGACAGCCACTAAAGTCCTTGCGTCTCTTAGGCAGACAACACGCTAGTAGGACAAATAACGAAGCTCCCCCCATTTTTTATGGTGCCACACCCCTTTCTTCTAGCACGGAAACGCGCGGCACTTGCGCAGCTGCTAGCAACGCCCACCATTACAACCGCTGCAACCGTATACGAGCGTAAACAAGCTGCAAATATGGCATCAACATCCAGTGGCAGGCTCTACAGTTTGGATGATGTTGTTGCTGAGATGATGGAAGATGTTGAATTGAGTGATGATGATTTTGAGGGGTACATTGACGACGACAATGAACAGTCCCAGCGAGAGACAGAGACGAATGCTGCAGACCTCGACATCGGTGGGGAGTGTGAGGTAGGGGAGCCTGATCCCACTTCGGAGATACCAGAGTATACATTTTCACCTGGCTGTAACCCTCCACGTCCTGATGCAACCCCTTTGGAGCTCTTCAAGATGCTACTGACCGACAGCATCCTCGACAAGATAGTCGAACAGACAAACCTGTACGCCAGCCAGTACAGCAGTCATGATCTCCCTCCTCGGTCAAGAGTGCACAGTTGGACCAAGGAACCATTCACCAGAGACGAGCTCCACAAATTCCTCTCCCTCATCATTGTCATGGGTCTGGTAAACCTCCCTACTGTTGAGGGTCACTGGTCTACTACATGGCCTTACTCCAGCCTAGCTTGCTCAAAAGTAAGCTAGGCACCAAAAATATGTACGTATGAAAGCACTAAAACAATGAACACGTGCAGAATACTGTCAATATAAACTGTACTTGCACTTCAGGTCCTGAAAAGAGATTGATTTTCCCTGACTTTTCACCTGAAATAGATGTAAAACACTCAAGTCAATACATACAATGCCTATATATCTGTATTTTAGGTGCTGAAAAGAGATCGATTTTCCCTGATCATGAAATTCCTCCATCTCAATGACAACTCCTGCTACATCCCAAAAGGGCAACCAGGTCACGATCGTCTTTATAAGCTTCGACCCCTGCTGGATCCCCTCATTGCCAACTTCCAAGCATCCTACACCCTTCACAGGGAGTTGTCAGTCGATGAGGCAATGGTGGGTTTCAAGGGGCGGCTGTTTTTCATACAGTACCTACCCAAGAAGCCCACCAAGTGGGGCATGAAGGCCTACGTCCTAGCTGACAGCTGTACGGGATACGTATACAACTGGAGGCTGTACACAGGTAAGTCATGAATACAAAAGAACATGGTATATATATACATAGTGACAGCTATACACCACTTACTTAGGGAAAGATGAATCGTTGGATCTGGGAGACCGCAACCACACGCATGCAATTGTTGTGGTATTGCTGAAAGGCCTGGAGGGCAGAGGTCACCATGTCTACACGGACAACTACTACAGTAGTCCTGCTCTCTTCTCCGAACTACATGACCTTGGATTTGGGGCATGTGGAACTGTCCGAGTCAATCGTCGCGGGCTGCCACCTGAGATGAAGACAACACTGGCAAAGGGAGATACCATTTCTGCGCAGGTGGACGACTCAATGATGGCTCTCAAGTGGATGGACAAAAGGGCAGTGTCAATGCTCAGCACCATCCACGACAACTCCATGACCACAAAGGTTCGCCGCACACGTCGGGCTGTGGGAGGGCAAGAAGAAATCAGAAAACCAGTTGTCGTGGAGCAGTACAACAAGTACATGGGTGGAGTGGATCGCTCCGACCAGCTCCTTTCCTACTATGGCTTTAGCCACAGGACAGTGAAGTGGTGGAAAAGGGCAGCTTTCCACTTGATTGACATGGCAATTGTCAATGCATACATCATGCACACATCATCTGCGACGACTGGCAAGAAGCTTACCCATGAGCAGTTTCGTATCGAGCTTGCAAAGGAGCTGCTCCTTCAAGCCTCAGTGGATGTCTCAGAGAGCACCCCAGTCAGCGACGGACGAATTCAACGTCCACTTCCTCCCCAGGCCCGACTTACAGAACGCCACTTCCCAGATCATCTTCCATCTACACCATGTGGAAAGAAGGCACAAACAGACTGTGTAGTGTGCAGCAAAAAACGGGGACGCGGACGCAAAACAACAACATACATGTGCAAGCAGTGCAAGCTACCTATGTGCCCTATACCCTGCTTTGAACTTTACCACACAAAAGTAGATCCACAGAGGTACCTATAATCGTGTTATTATACATCCAACAAACGCACCTTTGTCTTCCATTCGTCCTTCTATCACTTTTGCCTTCCATTCATCCTTCAGTTTAGTGTAAAATAGTCCTAGAGATAATAAAAATACAGCCTGAACTCAGCATGAATGAGCTAAAGAACGATAAAAATAGGTTATAACTTACTTCTTTCCGTCAAAACGGTCTTGTCATCTTGTAAACAACACGAGAACGCGGTAAAACACTTGAGTATCCAGCGTGGGGGTCTCAAACTTCTTCCTGCAGCAGCTGACACTTTGTACTGTCCTTCTTCGGTCATCTGGAGCCATCTTGGTAGAGCCAACACGCTGTTTCTTGAGCGCACACGACCACACGCGAGCACGGTAAAAACGCGCGTGACATCCTCCGCGGATAAAATTGTACGCGCAATTTCCGCGCATGCGCGCAAAGGGTTAATGTCTTGTCACATAGTGAATATCAAAAACTCCATTTACAAATCTGAAAAAAATAAGGACATGCACATAACAAGAGTGCAACTAACATAACAACACCCCTACAGGGGTTCATTAACCTTCCCCTCAGCAGGCATGCGCAGTGAGGGTTACAGTAGTTGGTTTGTCTGTTTGTCTGTGCGTCGACGCTTATTCTGGCACTCCAGGCTACGAAGAGGCCGATTAGCGATAACAGCGGCTTCAGAACTAGGCGAGCCTGAGAAATAAATGGGCGCTTTTCCAGAAACGACTGCCTTTGGAGAGATATGCCGTGAAAACCCCAATATGCATAATCGCACTGGGCTTACCGCGACCTGATCTGCTCGCTGTGTATCTTGGGGGGTCAGGAATTCACAACGAATGGCATGTGTCGACTCCCGGATGCTATCTACTACTGTAGCTAGCCCGTGTCAGACTCTACCAAAACCAGTATGCAAATCTATGGCATTTCGAAGAGCGAGAGCGAGTACAAACTTGTTTAGTGTGAGCTAGGTTCGGGTTTTGCAGAAACATGTGTACAGAGCGGAAGACGGGCGAACAAATGACTGGTTAAACGAGGTTAATAGAGAGGTGCCTCCAGGCCACAACGTTACATAGCTGTACGAGGGTAGTGCGCATGCGTCAGCAGGGCTGGTCGCCTATAAAGCTAGAAACGTACCGGTCTGCGCTCTCGGCATCAGCTCACCAGGCGGGTGGCAAAACCAGAGTTGCTGGAACGCATTTGTTCCCCGTGGAACAGGGGTCAGTGTGCATTCCCTGGCTCATGCCGGTTTTGGTACGTCTGTGCGTCCTGCAGGCGCAAAGGTCATCGGGCCAAGGACTGCGACGACACACCGGCAGACTCCAGACTCCTCCTATAAGGCAACACCACAGCATCCCCAGGCAGACATGTCAGGCGAAGACACTCCCCAGTTCTGAACGCCGGGGCTCCACCCGGTGGGGTCAGGACACCCAATGTGACTCACTGTTCTAGCCTAGCAGTGTTAGCAGTGTCATTGTGTTGAGTTTCAGTGCAATGTATTCACAAAGGTTAATGGGCGATATATGAGCAAGCAATCCTCGCCCTGCAGGGATCGGCAATGTGGAATAGGGGCACTATTTGCACGATCTCGTCGAGCAGGAGGCAACTGCGACAGGTCTGGGTCCATCCTGTTTTAGACCAGCCACTCCCCTCAGACTGCAAGCATGGAAAAAGACACTAGCAGACCACCCAGACCAGCCTTTCGGCCATTATATTCTCAACAGCATCGCAAACGGATTTCTCATCGGTGCCGACAGGACCATCATGCTGCGCAGCAACACCACGAACATGCTGTCTGTTCACCAACATCCACAGCTCGTGGAGGCCCATATTAGGGCAGAATCCATAGCATGGCGCCTGTTTGGCACCCTGCCTCCTCACTTGTCTGACTGAATTGGTCCGATACCAAAGCCACAGCAGCCAGGGTGATTGTAGACCTGTCTTCCCCGACAGGGAGCAGCGCCACATGAGATAAGCATTGGTCTGGGAGGCAGTCCAGATTATCCAGCAGCTGGGGGTCGGTTTGAAGTTGGCCAAGCTTGACCTCCACAATGCCTACCGCATGGTACCTGTCCATCCTGACGACCACTGCCTGCGCTGGTGTGAGGAGGTGTTCGTTGACACAGTCCTCCCCTTTTGTCTTAGATCTTCCCCCAAAACAAAAGGGCCAAGCTGCCAGCAAAAGTTCCTGGGCATCCAGATAGATACCACCAGCATGGAGCTGAGCCTCCCCCCAGACAAGCCGGCACGCATCTCATCAACAGTGTGTGAGTGGAGGGGCAAGAAGGCCGCGACGAAAAGGCAGTACCCTCAGTCATGCAGCCACAGTAGTCATTTCTGGTCGGGTTTTCCTGAGGCGCATGATTGACACGATGAAAATCCCCAGGTGCCAGCACCATCATGTGCGACTCAACCAGGAGTTTCAGTCAGACGTCCTGTGGTGGGGTTGCTTCCTCCCAGGGTGGAATGGGAGATCAATCCTCCCCACACCGCAGGTTGCGCATACTTTCTGGTCAGACGCATCCGGGTCCTGGGGGTGTGGAGCTCTCAGTCACACCCTAGACTGGTTCCAGCTGCAGTGGCCGGACACCTGGAAATAGCACCACATAGCAGCCAAAGAAATGGTGCCAATAGTAGTGACGGTGGCAGTATGGGGACAAACGTGGAGCTCTTCCACTGTCCTCGCATTTTCAGACAATGTAGCAGTGGTCAGTGCCATATCCGGAGGACTGGCCCGTGATCCACTCCTCATGCACCTTCTACGATGCCTATACTTCTTCTGTGTCCACTACGGCATAGTATTGCGAGCCCGACACATAGTGAGGGTCCGCGGTTGATGCACTATCCAGGGACAAGCATGATGTCCTTCTGTTTGTGCTCCACAGGCCCCTCTAACACCATCGCACATACCTCAGTCTCTGCTAGACATGCTGCTACTCAGCAAACCATCCCCCATCCCCCAGCTGGAACACGCTGCTTCTAGTTACCTTGCAGGAGCTCTCGCCCCAGCAACACTGAGGGTGCACGGCTCTGGTCAGCACCGGTACATGGCATTTTATTCAGCAGCGACTTTCTCTCCACTACCACTAGTGGAGCACACACTATGCATGTTCATGATGTACCAGGCCAGGGATGGGCTCACACACCAGAAAATAAAGTCATATCTGTCTGCAATAAGACACTACCACATCCTCGCAGATCAAGGCGACCCATTCAGAGGAAACCCCTTCCCGCAGCTGCAGTATGTGCTTCGAGGAATCAAATGCTCACCAGCTCACAGTCCTCGGCCTAAGCTAGGCCTAGCAGGCCTACAGTTCAGCCCCGCAATCCACTGCCAAGGTAGGCCAGGCAGGCCTTCAGTTCAGCCACGCAATCCAGTGCAGAGCTAGGCCGGGCAGGCCTGCAGTTCAGCCACGCAATCCAGTGCCAAGTTAGGCCGGGCAGGCCGACAGTTTAGCCCCGCAATCTAGTGCCAAGCTAGGCCGGGCACACTAGCCGTGGAATCATGTGGCTAGGCATTTTACAGACCACTGCGACCCAAGGGTCTCGGTGGTCTTGCTTGCTATCCGCTGCCTCACCTGCTTGCCCTAACCTGCCAGCAAAGGGGCACTCATCAGGCCTGTCACCCTGTTTGTTGGGTTGACCTTCCCTTACCAACACCTCCATATACCTCATACCCCTGCACCTGCACTGTCAAGCTATTGTGGGTTTATCCCTTACAGGTGGTGCATCGACACACCTGGGTGTCTTGCCACAGGCGGCTTCTCCGGCGGGGCTGCCAGTGTTCGCACCAAGCACCACGGTGGCATCCACCTCCACCACGATGGCCACCTCTGCAAGCTTAACCTCGCCAGCCCTTGCTGCACTACTACCCATCCCCAAGCCCCAAGGGGAGGGAGCTGTAGGCCTCTCATCGGCCCTTCCGCCGATCAGTGCTAAGCTGACACAGAAAATCAGGTCGCAGTAATATGTTGCGCTGCTCTCGGACAACATGGCCCAGCACAGCCAGCTGGAAGAGCTACCAGCACAGACTGCTGTAGCAGCCCACCCCCATCGCCTGCGAGAAATCGAGTCACCATTGTCATGGGCCTTATGCTTCCTGGCGTACATTGTTGTCTGCATCAGCGACCAGGAGACCAGGGACATGTTGTTGACTTATGCGAGACTGGTCATCCGGGAGGCCCAATGCCACGGCGGGGCAGGCTGGCTTGAATACGACAAGTGGTTTCAGGACACCCCATTGCTCTAGCCTATATAGCAGTGTTAGTGTGTTGAGTTTGCAGTGCAATGTATTCACAAAGGCTAATGAGCTATAGATGAACAAGTAATTCTCACCCCGCAAGGATCAGCAATGTGGAAGAGGGACACTACCGCTATTTGCACGACCTCCTCGAGCTGGAGGCAACTGCGACTGGTCTGGGCCCATCTTGTTTTATACCAGCCCAGGGGTGCTAATCTGGCGCTATGGCGCTGCTTGCTGCTCCATGAAAAGGTTTTGTGCGCCAACGACTTAGAATGCCGCGCCAGCCGACGATGCGGGCGCGGGGTGTGGTTACAGGCACGAGCGGCGCGCGCGTACGGGTGCTGCACACAGAATGGCTGCACATCAAGGGACCCTTTCCTCGCTTTGGGGTTCCCTGTCACAACCGTCGACTTCTACAGGTACTGAGAGTCTCAGTCAGAGTGAGAGCGTTGGTGAGCATGGAACCGAAACGTCAGGGCAAGGTGGCCGCTTCGACAGTTCTGAGACTGAGTCGGACCGCGATGACTGCATAAGCTCACACTCTGAGCAAAACTGCCCGCCTCTACGCAAGAAAAGAAAGCAGAGTAGGCTGAGCTACCAACAGGATTGGAAATGGAAGTACCTGATGCTGCCCGCGCCCTCTCGTGATGGGAAATCCGCTAACGACAACATGATATGCGCTCAATGTCAGCAACATATGAAGGCAAAAAGCAGCACAGCACTTCGGCACTATCTGGATGACTTCCTGCTGGTTGGGCTGCCAGACACGTCAGCCTGCACCCAGGCACTGCAATGTACGCTGGAGACATGTCTGAAACTGGGGGTACTGGTCGCTGCCCACAAAACAGAAGGGCCAAGCTGCCAGCTAATGTTCCTGGGCATCCAGATAGATACTATCCGCATGGAGCTGAGCCTCCCCCCAGACAAGCTGGCACGCATGTCAGCAACAGTGTGTGTGAGTGGAGGGGCAAGAAGGCAGCGACGAAAAGGCAGCTACAGTCCCTCATAGGTACCCTCAGTCATGCGTCAGTCATTGGTGGTCGGGCTTTCCTGAGGCGAATGATTGACACGATGAAAATCCCCAGGTGCCAGCACCATCATGTGTGACTCAAGCAGGAGTTCAAGTGAGACATTAAGTGGTGGGCATGCTTCCTCCCAGGGAGGTCAATGCTCCCCACACTGCAGGTTGCGCACACTCTGTGGTCAGACGCATCTGGGTCCTGGGGCTGCAAAGCTCTCAGTCACACACTAGACTGGTTCCAGCTGCAGTGGCCGGACACCTGGAACCAGCACTACATAGCAGCCAAAGAAATGGTGATAATAGTAGTCGCGGTGGCAGTATGGGGACAAGAGTGGAGCTCTTCCACAGTCCTCGCATTCTCGGACAATATGGCAGTGGTCAGTGCCATAACCGCGGGGCTGGCCTGGGATCCGCTCCTCATGTACCCTTCTACGGTGCCTACACTTCTTCAGTGCTCACTATGGCACAGTATTGCGAGCTCGACACATAGCAGGTGTTCAGAATACTGCGGCAGATGCACTAGGGGCAAGCGTCTTTCTGTCTTGTGCTCCACAGGCCCCACTAACACCATCGCACATACCTCAGTCTCTATAAGACACTACCGCATCCTCGCGGGTCAAGGTGACCCCTTCACAGGAAACCCCTTCCCGCTGCTGCAGTATGTGCTTCGAGGAATCAAACGCTCACCAGCTCACAGTCCTCGGTTACCTTGCATGCAAATCACTCCCGCAATTCTGCATACACTAAGAGACCAATGGGGAACAGAAGCAATTAGAGACAAGGATTTTGTCAATGTTGTGGGCGGCCTGCAGCATGGGTTTCTTCGGATTTATGAGGCTCGGAGAATTCGCACAGTCACCCATGTGTCAGAATTTGGCCCGGCAACCTCCCTGTGCTTGGGGGACATCGCACTGGACCATCACCAGGATCCCTCAGTAGTGCAGGTGCAGCTGAAGCAGAGTAAAACAGACCCCTTTAGCACAGGGGTCTCAATTTACTTGGGCAGAACACGGACGGATTTGTGCCCAGTGGTTGCCATTCTGGGGTATATAGCGGTGCGCCCTCCGGCCAGCAGGCCTTTGTTTGTGTTCAAGGATGGTTCCTTCCTCACCCGAAACAGGCTGGTCTCTGCCATCCAAAGGGCGCTGAGATCCGCAAGTATCGATACAATGGGGTTCTCAGGTCACAGTTTATTGGGGCTGCCTCAACATCAGCCCTAGTTGGAGTCGAAGGTTGAACCATAAAAATGCTAGGCAGATGGGGAATCTGCAGCATACCAGAGATATCTCCGCACACCAAGAGAGATGTTAGCGCCTGGCCGGTGACTCAATAGTTGTTGTTAATGATGTCAGTGCTACCACATAGTATTTCAGAATTAAAATTTTGTGTTTGGGAGGTGTGTTACGCTGCACTGGGGTTATGTGTGTTTGGGCTGGATGGGTGTGGTTGTGACAAACAATTTCAACCACAAAAATTTGATTATGACATACCACAGAGGTGGTAATGGGCCTTCATCCAGTCCCCACGCATATTCCCATAAATTGTGTGCAGGGTCATGTATTCAAATGTTAGCGAACTTCATTTAACCCATGGTTAAACGAGGAGGTGCTTTCAGGCCACGACATTACATAGCGTGTAGCACGCATGCGTCAACAGGGCTGGTCGCCTATAAGAGCTAAAAATGCACCGGTCTGCTCGCTCGGCATCAGCTCACCAGGCTTCTGCGCAGCAGTCAGCAAAATCTCCCTCCCACCCGTGCTTCCCTGTATTATACTAGTCGGCGAATGCATGGCATTTTTGGCGAGCGGGAGTGAGCACACAATGACTGATGGCCACCCTGCTGAATGGTTCGTCCACGACGGGGAGAGGACCCATGAAGAGTACAGCCTTGGTCAGTCACCGAAGATTGCAGCAAATGCCGTTGAATTGGCTAGATCGATCGGCGTATATAGCGCGAGGCAGCGTGCGTGAAAATGTGAAAATTTGGAAATGATGTCGGATAAAAAGAAGCGTGTAACAAAGCCGCGCATGCGCACTTACACGACGTACGGACATGTGAAAAATCCGCTCGAACAAACGACTAGGTTAGCTCGCTCCCACTCGCCAATTATTGTTCTCCACCAGTTATCTGGTGTAATCGTGCATGTGGGCAGGATGGGTGTGGTTGTGGCAAACAATTGCAAGCACAAAAATGTGATTATGACACACCACAGAGGTGGTAATGGGCCTTCATCCAGTCCCATGCATATTCCCATACCCTCACAATTTAAATTGTGTGCAGGGTCATGTATTAAAATGTTACTGAACCTCATTAACTACTGGCTTGAAAGCAGAAGACAGTCGCTATAGTAATGGCTGTTAGTGAGTAGTTCTTGCTTGTGGAGTGTGACAGTAGCGTGTACCATGCGGCAATTAGTATCGGGGACAGAGCTGCTTCAGCACAGACAATACTCAGTGTCACAGGCTCAATGCAATGCCGGTATCTTCTACCCAGCGTGGTTTTCACGAACCAACGGTTCCTCCAAGTTCCACTCTCAGACTTCAGAATTGCAGTAATACATGAAAAGCACTGAAGTGCAAACCCTCGGCGCATTGTGACGCGCACGCGTAAGTAAACGCATGCGCTGTATCACTAATCGATTGGCTGGGTTTAGTTTCTCATGGTCTCGCGCAGAGTCTGACGCGGGCTAACTACACTACTAGACAGCATGCGAGAGGCGATACACGCCCTGCGTTGCATCTTCTGGTATCTCCGAGGTATATACGCAGAGCACGCGGATCGATCAGACCCATCCCGTCCGTTGCGTATTTGCATATTGGCTTTTTCGTGCTCTAGCTTTGCAACGGAGCATTTTCAGAGAAAACCGCCTCTATTTTCTGACCTTCGTCGACCGTTGGGTAGATGGTATCATTTCTGGGACGAACAGACGTTCGAGGAGTGAGATATAGAGTAACAGACAAACAAACAGACAGACAGACCCAACTACTGTATATACCCTCACTGCGCATGCGCACCGAGGGTAAACATCAGTACCAGCTAGCCAGCCCCCTCCCCCTCCCCCTCTATAAAGTGTTTAACTGCCCAGTTATCACAACACCCCACAGACACTCACTGATAAAAAGCCACAGATAACCCAGCATGGTTTGAAATTCCTATTGTTTCGTAATCAGCGCTCTGTAAACAACCGGACCACTGGACACCAGCCATCCTTGGTGACTGCTGCAGCACACATAAGCCGAAGAACATCACCACAGAACTGAAGGTTCTGGGTACACTCTTCCTCGTGAACCACACAGCTCACAAGATCTGCAGTAACTTCCAATAGAGCTGGAACACTACTACGAGCTTTCCACGCCCCCACCTAGAGCACAATAATCGGAAATGAGTGAAGAACGAACGAAATGCACTGGACAAACCCGCGATACTCCATTCCGTTTACGGTCCAATTTCTGAACTGGAGCATTTCAAAAACATCTTCCCACTCCTCAGAATCGCTCCGGGGGCAAGTCGCCAAGCACAACGCCACGATGACGACGGACGGATTTTACACGTGGAGCAAGATGTTGTGCGCATGCGATGCCCGGCCCCAATTCCATTCTGCACGAAAGGGGCGTATCTTCATCTGTACACCCCCGCACACCGTGTGAGCGATCCCCGGCCCCTTGAGGAAACTTCGGCAGTGGAAAGTAAGCTACGTGTAAGCCATAACTTTTTATAGTACGAACTTCTGTTTCTTACAGCTTACTGGTATATACATTTGGAAGTATTATAGAGCCCATACTTAATTAAACCGGTGCGGGGCCGCCACACACACACTTTTCTGCAGAAAAAATAAAAAGGGGGAGGATCTGCTAAGGCGGCGTGTCACCTCGGACAATGGCTCAGCTAGCTTACGCTGCTGCTGCTAACGCTACTGGCCCTACTGTGTGGAAGGGTGCTGAGTACGTGAAAGGTGAATGCTTTGAAGACGGTGCTCCGACCCGATGTGAGCCAGTTAGAATGTCGTTTTCTTTCTTTCAACAAGCAACAACATCAAGTACGGGCCGCGCTCCGCCTGCGCCATTCTGCGTCGGTTCAGTCTCTCTTGCAGAGTCGTCAGTGACTGGAGTGGAAGGGACATCTGCGATGCTAACGATCCGAACAACCACCACAACGTTCTTTACCTAACGGACTTCCCACTCAACAGCATGTCTTAGACGACAGCGTGTTATCGACATACCGCCTCGCCGAGATTTCTTTTGATATCCACGGCATCAAAGCGGCCGCCTTTCACTTGGAAAGGTCCAAGGAGCCATACCACTACTTTGCAATATCCCGTGAGAATACCTTGTGCATGCTTCCAGACGCAGAGCTGACGACTGTCAATGAGACATCGGTCCTTTGCCAAACCATACAAGAACCCCCAACTGCAGGAATTATCACTTTATTCCCTGCCATTGATCGCCCCTCTGCCAATGATTCCCAGCCAGGCTACAGCGAGGCCTTCTACCAGTTTGTCACAGCAACCAATAGCTCCGTGTAATTTTCGATAAACACTATGAACTACAACTAGCAGGAGAGGATCCTGGGTACTGGGTACTACTATGACCGGATGATACCCATGGTGAGTCGACTTCGCATCCTGTATCTCGCACACCACCTAGCAAGGAAAACAAATTCAATGCAGTCCTTTATGGCGTCCAAGAGTGTACCTCGTGTATGTCCAAATTAGCTCGTTTCGAGTGAGATCTCACTAGTGTTGCCAATATTCTTTCCTCCCAGAATAGTACTATTCAGTCCCAGTCAATTAATCAATGCGTCTCGCCCAAGGCTGATTCTAATCAAAATTTGTGAGAATAGCTGATGTGGCTAGCATTTTTTCAAAGATAAGAAATCTAACCCACTCATACTCTATCAAACCAGACATGCCTCAAGACCAACATTTGGTATTGATGAAAGAGTGATGAAGCCGGATTCAGTCAGGTATTAACCGTCAGTAAACGGTAACTCTCTTTATGTCCATGGCAAGGTACACGGCCGAGTCTCTGATTTAAAGTTTGAGTGTGAAACCCAAGATGAGGATGCTTCTCATCTAGATCCCCCTAGCAGCCCTAGATTCCTTCCACCCATTGTTATGCAAGACTAGCAGTCTGCCCACCATGTTCACACTTTTTTTTGACAAAACTTCGTGGGGGTTGAGCCCCCAAGCGCGCGAGCGAGGCGCCGCGTTAATTGCGCACACGCATTTGGGAGCGTAGTGGCCCTGCTCGTATACGCGTAGCGCGTGGCTGTCATCGTCCGACGGCTAAAACGATCAACGTCTACTCTATCATCTTTTCGACTGCTGCTTCAGTGGCTGCTTCAGTGAGAACAAATGGTAACACCAATCCCATGCTTCGAGGTGAACCTGGATCCGCCACTTAACTCAGCATGTATCTGAATCTACTCATGTAAAGGGTGGATCTTGTACTTACTTCTCCTGACATTATCATTGATCAATTAACTATCAATGTGAACTTCTCTGATCATTTCTTTGTAACTTTTATTCCACTTTAACACTTTCTTTGCTGTCAAATCCAAGTACGGTTTTGTATTTGGTTTTTCTAGAGCAAACTTTAAATGCATCTGCAACTTTTTCTTGGATTCTGATATTAGTCTGCTGTTTGAGAGTAAGGATATTGAATAAATTTATTAAATGTCATATTTTCGAAGCTGTATCCCTGTTTATCCCTAAGATTTTTGTAAGAAATTGTCAAGATCTAAAGTGCTTCAATTCGGAAATTCATCATCACATAAAGTTCCATCCCTATATCTTTGTTTTATTGTTCATAGGCAAAGTTTAAAGATTTGCCCGCGATGTTCTGGCTGCATAAGCGCACAGCTTTCTTTCGTGAAGCAAGACAGATCTACCAGTCGCCGTTACATGCGTATTGTACATTGGCAGAAGGGTGAGCAGGTGAGCAGAACGGTACTTACGCTTTCAGCTCGGTCGTGGTGTACCAGACAGCTGGCATGCAGCACGAGCAATCCTAGCGTATTTGCAAGTTGCACCTTGGAACCATGAAGATTGGGAAGAGGTACAGCCTCAGTCAGTCACCGAAGGTTGCAGCGCATGTCGTCGAATGGAGGTGACTTCTCTAGTTGGCAAGACCGATCGGCGCATATCGCGAGGCACTGAGTGTGAAAATGTGTAAACATTTGGAAATAGTTTCGGATAAAAAGAAGCGCGTACAAAGCCGCGCATGCGCACTTACGACGAACGCATATATAATTATAGTGGAAATGCTTGGCATTCCTTGGGCGAGCGGAGCGAGCCTTAAAGTGTACTGTAATGAAATAGAAGATATTGGAGATACGAAGATCTTCTTTGGCAGTGAAAAGTATTTTTCTGAACAGAATGGCCCGACAATAAAATTGCAAAAAGTCATACAAAATGTAATTTGTCAATACCATAAGGTCAGTTTTGCAGAAGCAGTTGAACCTGCAATTGTGACCTCTTGTTTTTTCAATGTTGGAGACTCCTTGGTAGGTGGATCTATACATATGACTTTCACTTTCACAGACACCCTGTTGTAATTTTTCTTTGAATCATGATGTTTAAAAGTTATCATGTTGTTCTGGGGTGAATAGGCTTTAGGACTGTGCTTGTCCCTAACACAGTGAACACACTCAGTACAAGATGGACGAGCCATCCTAGAACCACGAAGATTGGAAAGAGGTATCATACAGCCTCGGTCAGGTATCGAAGAGCGCAGCGAATGCCAGCGAATAGACTAGAGTTCTTTCGCTGGCTAGATTTCGAATCGATGGGCAGCGTTGTAAAAATTTTGAAATTCCCTATCACGCAAGCGACGCTGATACATAGTAGCCACACACACACGCGTATACGCACACGTGTGTACTATACTCACGACGACATTGCAGGCAGCATGTGAAAATTTTGAGAAGCGCGGAATATTATAGCGCTCTATAGACTTTGATCCCACTGTCATCATCATCATCATCATCATATTCATGTTGTAATCTTGTCTAGAGCGTTTTTAAGGATGTTAACAGTGAATTAGTGACATAGAATTGTCTATCCCTTAATACTGTATAATCAGGCAAAACCCCTCCATAAAGGACACCCCGCTATAATGGACAAATGTTGTGGCTCTAAGTTGTCCGCCTTAGAGGGGTTCCACTGTATATATCCCTTTGCAGGCGGACCTCTCTCTGACTACTAGACTCACTAGCAATTCTCTGTTCTTCATTGCTGCGAAGCTGCAGAAGGTGGATCTCTCTCCTCTCTTCACTAGACTCACTAGCAATTCTCTGGTCTCTATTGCTCCGCACTAGCTGAAGCCGGCCCTCCTCTCATCTTCGACAGATTCGGCAGCAATTCTCTGTTCTTGTTGGTCCGCAGCTGCTGCAGGCGGACTTCTCTCTCTTCGGCAGATTCAGCAGCAATTGTCCGATCATGATGATACGTAGCTGCTGTAGGCGCGCCTCACTGTCATCAACACGCTCGGCAGCAATTCGTATTGCCTGGTAACTCGGAAGATGTTCGAGCCTAGCCTCTCCCCTTTCTTCTGATTCAGCAGCACGTCTATCCCTCACACGACGTTTCGCTAGCCTCGCCTCCCTTTCATTTGCTGTCTCTGTAGCGAGGCGTTCCCTTCCCCGTTGTCGACCTCTGGCTAGTGTCGCCTCTCCTCTCCTCCGTTGTTTCCGTTACGAGAAGTTGTCTCGCTCGTTCTCGATTCTTAGTCAGCGTCGAAAAAGACGAGTCTCTCTCTCTTCATCACTTTCATGGGCACGCCGTTCTCTGTCTGTTTCTCTTCGACGAAGAACACTATCCTCCGCGGATGAATCGGAGCCAACTCGAATGCCAACTGGACGGACAGTGGATGGAGAAAATATTCCGCGTCGTAATAATATTAACGCATGCGCACTAAGACGACGTACGAGCGACTACGTTGGCTCGCTCCCACTCGCCAATTAGAAACTGACGCTTACTTTTAATTATCTCCTGCGCTCCCAGCACTGATGAGTGAGTGGTACTCCCCCCCAAATTCCAAACTCTAGATGAAACCCTGCATACGTAGAGTAATGTGTCTCTATCTTCAATGTGTTTTTGTGACTATATATCCCTGATTTTGTACAAAGATTTTGATCACACAATAAACAATAATGCACACCACATCTTTACGGATCGCTTCCCGCTCGCCAAAAATGTTCAACATTTCCACTAGTTTTTACGATAGTTTCGCTATCCGTTAAAAAAAGCAGAAAGTCCACGTGTGTGTGCGCACGTGCGTTCGTTTTATAGCGCATAATGATTCATCGTGCACTGCCTCAAAGATCAGTACTGGCAGATCCCCAGACATATACCGCCAAACTGGATGTCTTTTCCTGTGGTGTGCTCTTTGTTCAGTGGCCCAACCCAGGTCCTCGTACTTACACTGTGCAAGTAGGAAATGACCCTTGCTTCCCATCAGGAAGAGGGCTTGTGGAAGTCCCCCGATATGAGCGTCGTAAGGAGCACCTGGATCTCATCTCCCCCACACACCCTCTCCTGGAGTAGTCCCTGGACTGCCTCAAGACAAGAAAGTCATCGACCACGGCGAGCAGCTGTGCTCTCGCCTATGTCTGAAGAGAGTGCTGCTACCGAGACAGCCTCCCCACACACCCTCTCTGGAGGTAGCCTGGAGTAACTCTAAGACAAGGAGTCATGCGACCAACGGCCCTAGCATCCGTGCTCTCCCTCGATGCTCTGAAAGAGAGTGCTCTGTCCTTCACCGCCCCAGACAACCTCCCCAACGCAGACCCCATAGGAGACTATAGGTCAGGCACCTCCTGCCAGAGCCGCAACAACTGAGGGAGAGTGAGTCAGAGTTTGAAAACTCACCAGAGAAGTGCAGCAACTGACACTGCAGAATGCCAGAAGCATGCAACAGAGAGATATTCTGCAACTTCAACAACAAAATCAAACCAGTAGACGAAGAATGAACAGGTGGTGGCTGCTCTACACAGAGTGTTGCCAGCAAAGATGCAGCACTTCAGGC